TACTGTTTGCGGAACATGTCAATAAAGTGGAACAACTGTTTGCGTAACACCTCAATGAGGTGGAACAACTGTTTGCGTAACACCTCAATAAAGTGGAACTACTGTTAGCGGAACATGTCAGTAAAGTGGAACAACTGTTTGTGTAACACCTCAATGAAGTGCAACAGCTGTTTGTGGAACACCTCAATAAAGTGGAACAACTGTTTGTGCAACACCTCAATAAAGTGGAACAACTGTTTGTGCAACACCTCAATAAAGTGGAACTACTGTTTGCGGAACACCTCAATAAAGTGGAACAACTGTTTGTGGAACACCTCAATAAAGTGGAACAACTGTTTGTGGAACACCTCAATAAAGTGGAACTACTGTTTGTGGAACACCTCAATGAAGTGGAGCAACTATTTTTGGAACACCTCAATAAAGTTGATAGTATGTCCCATTAGATATAAACTTAACATAATTTAATGCACCTCTGCAAGTAGAATACCTCCATGTTTAACACTATTTTGAGGTCACAATTAAAGTTATTCCAATAAAACAGCTTTAGCTGTAATCACCCTAGAAAAACAGTAACAGCAACTCCCCAGCGTAGCAAATTCCACTGAGAAAAATATTTTATCAAATTATTCATCATTTTAAAAAGTTCATGACAGAAATAACAAGCCATTCGCTATATCGTCCATGGCAAAATCTACACCCATGACATAATAAATCATATAAGAATATACTATTAACAGACATCAGAAGAAGTCCAAAAGTATGTTGTGAGGGTGTGTTTCTTGACTTAGAAATCATGTTTTAGTTGTCAGTTAAGCTTGGAGGAAATGTAAAATGTCACTCAACCTTTTGGTGATTTTGAAGTCATGTCTGCACTTCACTTTTCAAAATCAAATTCTGTATTATTTGATTCACTAAACTTTTATTGTTTCTCAAAACATATCTCAAAATCATGAAACGAGGGTGAGGAGCGTTGAAACTTTGTTATGAATTTTAGTCACAAAAAATAATGAGTGACAACTTCCACTTCCTCGAGTGTAGTGAAATTTGCTTTGGCAATATAGAGATTTGTGATTTGGTATAGCATATAGCATGCTGCAAGTTACAAAAATATAGTTTGTATAAAAAATTTACAACATGGTGTTGAATTGGATTTGAAGTTATAAATGTATCTTAGATTAGCAAAATTGAAGACAATTCCTAGTTTGGTTTCTATAGACTGTATAGAACCAAGAGATTTGAACATTTGGCAATATAAGACACCGTCTCTGTAAATATCCTAAAAACATATATTTAGTACTCAATGCATGTGCTCAGTACATAACATATAAATGCATTTGTCCTATCATTTGGATATGGTTGCCCTAAAATCTTCACTTGTGAAACCTCATTTGTCATAGGATAAATTAGTTATGCGATGCTCAGTTTTGAATATGGGGAATATCCCTCAGGAAATATAATATCTTACCTCGGACTCTACGGGCCCTCGGTAAGTTATCTATATTTCCCTCAGGATATACCCCATATCCAAAACCTCCCATAACATAACTCTCATATATATACTCAGATATAATGAATGTATTTAGTACATTATACATGTATTCAGTGCAATGTACACATTGCAAAGCACATGATACATGTATTCAGTATACAACACATGTACAAAGTACATGCACATGGTACAATATATACATGTTATACAGTAACCAGGCTATCTTACTAAATTACATATCTACATCATTACTAACCAAAATATACAAGATTTATGAACATGTATTCATTAACACTACTTTACAATTCTAACCCTAATGTATAGAGCACTTGTTTCAAAATTTTAGCATTTCTGTACACTTACATGTATGCATTCTCTCCATACTTAAATACATACCATTTCATGTACTGTCCATATATGGTATAAAATAAGGAGAAAATGCTGGTACTTGGTTTATCAGAGTGCCTCCCAATGCACCAAAGTGTACCTGACCAGAATGACCTAGAATACATATGCACATCATGGTTACCTGGCTTTACTAAAGAACACCAATGCACACCTAACTGACCCTTGAAATACTAATGTAAACAAAGGTGGCCAGAATGCACCAAAAGGCACAAGTGTAACCTAGAATACACCTATGTACACCAAAGTGGCCCAAAATACACCAATGCACCAATGTACACTATACCGACCCTTGAAATACAAATGTAAACAAAGTAGGCCAGAATGCATCAACGTGGCACTAGGATTACTAATTCACCAGGGTGACCTAAGATGCACCAAAATACAAAAAGTGGCCCAGAAAACACAAAAAGGAGAACAAGATACATTTTAAAGGGCCATGTTGCACAAAGACTAATCAATGAAAATCGTTTAGATTAAAATAAAATGCATAAATCTCATGGAATTCTCAAAATTAATTTGTATCTAAAAATGTTGCAAAATGCTCCTTTGGAATTTGGTGTTTTTAAATATGTACCTCAGATTTTAACACATGAAGAAATATGACATGATACGATGACTACAATCTACTACAAAATACTGGTACGTATACATTTCACTGACATCTACAGTATATCTGACCCACTACACTAACTAGATTTACAAATGTACAGCTAAGTTCATAACATATAAAATGTATTTTATACAATGCTGTGCCTTTAAAATGGCAATATGTTAAAGCATTAATCAAACAACCGGTATACATCTGACAAACACCAGTGTCAGACAATGTAATAGTATTTCTCAAACGATTTCACAGGTATATCCATCATTGACTTCTTACACCTCAATATTCAAGGAGATCTTAGGGGCAGACCATTGGACCTTAGAGCTTGACAGGGGCTAGAGGTGCTGGAATGGGGGGGGGGGGGGGGGGGGTACTTGAATGAGGGGGGGGGGTGCAACAATTTTTACCATTGCTTTAATTGATTTTTGCCCTATCGAAGCCTAAGATACTTTTGACCAATCTTATTTCAATATTTAAGGTCCACAAGACCAAAGCCCCTGATAGTCACTCTTAGACCTAATGGTTTTCCTCCAAAGTTGCCTCAAATCCTATAATTGGTGTGTATACATGTAAAATAAACATGCTCTAAATTAATGTACTTGAATTATTTCTCAAATCCAACTATTTCAACATTTGACCATATTCTAATACCGGTATTGGCCATTCATTCTATTCTATCAGTACAATGGAAACATTTGTGTACATTATTCAGTACAATATATATTCAATAAACTATACTGGTACATGTATTCAGCATACTAATGTACCTGTATTATATACATGGTGTACATATTACAAAGACATTTAATATTTATATTGCATTTCACATTTAAGATGAATTCAACATGATGCTCTACTTCCGGTAGTAAATTAAAATAACTTAAAGTTTATTTCAGGAAGGTGTTGTGACAATAGGCAATCAAAACACCACAGCGCAGTATCATATGGAAAAAAACATTCATATTTTACGAGCAAAACATTTGCATATCTTTGATTGCTCGTGGTTCGGCTAATAAAATGTGTGGCCTCTTGTATTTTATGCTTCTCTGTCATGTTATTTTCCAAATAATTAACAAGACTGAAACTTCCTAAACAAGAGACAACATGTTAATTGCACATAAAACGAAAAAGTTATCTTAAATAAACAAACATTTTGCATGTAAGAGAAGAATATATTTTTCCATATGGTATTGCATTGTGGGTTTTAATGGTGCACAACCCAAGTGAAATGGACTGTATGTGAATCTTTCTTGAGAAAGGGTACCATATATTTATCCTATTTTGAAAACTTGTACAACAATTAGCAACGTCAAGAAATATGTGATATATTAACTTAGAAGGGAGTGAAATTATAACACTTAATCTTCAAAACACTTTGTAAAAATGCAGATTTTTATAAATATTACATGTTTACTATATACATTGGAAGGTTTCTGACATTTCCGAAATCACACTCTTGGTTCAGTCATTTTTTCTATGTTTTATATGCAATAATGACAGACTTGAATATGCCAGGGCAATATAAAGTACAAGTATGAGTTGCCAACCCAGATTAAAAATTCAAACTTGGGATTTTTCTCGTCTCCTGGAGACAGCAGTCATTTCAAAGGCTCTATGTAATTTATATGTTCAATGATACATCGAGGTATTTCATTTCATATGAGATCATAAATCAGCATTTTTGTAATTGTCCTATTCCTCTATATATACTTATTTTTACTGCTCACTTTAATATGTCCTTTATATGCAATGTTTTTGACATTTTTCAACAGTTTTCAAATGCGAAAACGTTGCATGTGAGTATCAACAGATTCCTAGTATGTCCAATAATGGGAACTGTTCGTGTAGTCAAGGTGTGACATTACCACTCAATATGACAATAACAAGTGAATTTCCCTGCAGTTCAACTGATCATTTCAGCATGTACATGTGAAGAAGGAGCATACCATAATCAGGTTAGACCAGAGGTTTGAAATCATTATGCCCTACCACGCATGTACTAACCAGTATTATGTTATATGAAGCTGCAATATGACTGCTATGAAAACATGCTTCACCGGTTTTCAAACTAGATACATAATTACATTCCCACCATTTTCCTCTCTGGTAGTTTTTCAGACGAAACAGTTCTTAACCATTGTATAAAAAATTAACAAATAAACAGTCATGAAAAACATTGCAATAAAATATCCAAACTCGTAGGATAAGAAAACTTTCAAAAGTATTAGTAAAATTCAGATAAAAACATATACATTTTTGCAATTATCTCCTTAAAGTTTATAAAAAACATATTTCTATATTCTCTTTATAATAAATTTATCCTTTGGTCTTAAGCCCACCGGTTATCTTTCAGTACCCTGCCAACTACTGCTCCCATCTTGGGTACCTCAAACTAGCAAGGTATACAGCATCTTCACGCCTTGTATAAAATTAGCAAATAAAACTACCACTATTCATATCTTGTAAAATTCAGCTGACTGATTTCACTGGGTCAGCTAGCAAATTCAGCTTCATGTCTCCATTTATTTCAACCATTCAGGTTTCCCATCAATTAGCATGTAGAATATATCACACAGTGTATATGATGCATGTACCTATTTTACAACTGGATGGGTATTGTTTATGGAATGCACACATTTTCATCTCTGACCAACATTTCTAGAATAAGAGGTGGAAAACCTCCAGGCATTTCAAGCCGTAGATGTAAAACTCTCTCTGCACCTGAAAACAAGTAAACGTCAATGATTAACTCATTTCAATTCAATCTCATTACGAGGTATTTACATTCACAATGTCACCACTTGCCATTTGTTACAGATGCCAAATGCTGAATACAAACGCATTTGTCACACTGAAAAGTTCCCACAACTTTTTAGCCACTATTCTAATCTCAGTTATATATTTCTTTGATATATTAAATCTGTGAGTGTACCCGTTTACAGACAGTATTCATTTTATTAGTTATGAGGAAACATAAAAGGGCAACTGATCACAATCAAGAATGGTTTCAAGCATTAGTTTCAAGTAACTAAAACCTGGATGTCATGAGGATCATATTATTAATTATTTTGCATAGTAGCTATAGAGGAGAAATACGACGTCATCTTATTGTTTACCTTTAACGCTTATACTTCTAAGATCTGTTAATTTCATTAATAACTTGGCAAAAGTGTGGGGTTGGAGGGAGCGCCTTTTCCGGACGTAATGTTTTAATGCTTCGAGGATAGGCTCTTGCATACGCTCAACCCTCTCAGCGTCCTCAAGACCAGACCGATCTGAAAAAAGAAACTCAGTGATAAATACCACACTTTTTTATCAAAAAATTAAAAATGGCCACCAAATACTTCACCCAGCATACCCTTAACCTTATCATATCTTGCATCTGTAATTGCTGGAATTCTGATGACAAGATTTATGTAACAAGCACCTACCCACCCACCCAGACAGATGCAAACAGTCATGCCCATCAGCCCAAGACAACAACAATAAAAAAATAGATTATTTACACCTGGCTAGAGTTTTTTTGAGGTAGATATAAAGTGAAATCAATGGAATTAAATGTTATCCAAAACGTTTCATAAAAATCATTTTACCAGGAAAACACAAATTTTTATTTATTTTTTTATTAAAATAGACTTCCAAACCCACATTCTCAGATTTAACACATGTTATTCAGTGCAGCCCTTATTTGATTTATTTTTGTCTTTTATTTATTCAATTTTGGCATAACTGTTATTTTGATACCTACCTCCACTGATGAGACATATTGCTGCTAGAAGTGCGAATTCAGTGGAATCAACAGTCATATTGCGTAATGATTCAGCAAAATTAAATATTGTATCGGTGAGCATTCCAAAGCCCCCTGACTTGAGCTGTTCTCGTGACAGGATGAGGCCATTAGAAAACTTCACGACATCCTCAACTTCTTGATAGCATGCACTCAGTCGTAGAATCTATAAATATAAAATTACAGGTCGTTCAATAAACAAAAGCTAATTTTGCTCTTATATCTATATATAATATAAAATAAAAGTCTCAATGTTCATAAAAGTACGTAGCATTGTACATTCAACCGACTATTCTAAAAATAAGGCTGAGATAAACTGGTACAGTACAACCTGTATATAATGAACACCTATGAAACCACAACAAAAAAATGTTCACTATAGGTAAGTATTCACTACAGAGAGGGAATTTCATACAGGAGTGGCTATAAAATGTGTGTTGAAGTGGTGTTCACTACCACAGATGTTCACTAGAGAGAGGTGTTCACTAAGACAAGTTTTGCTGTAATTGCCTCAAAGGCAACACTTATTGAGAAAATTAACGTTTCTTAAACTGAGCCTTATGTACAGTTTATTAGCTTTGACAATCTTAAACAGCTTTTTATAGCAATTATCCGACAAATTAAACACTTGCAGGATAACAAATTCTAAATAAATGGCATGACATAAGTGTAATGCTAAGAAAGGGGAGCTGTTTATTTTAAGAATATAGCAATCAAATGATCGAATCTAGATTCTTTTGGAAGTGAATTCATTTATTTTTCTTCATTAATTTTTGCAGCTATAGACATCAACAGATATGTTTTTTCATTGACTCCTGGCTCAGTTTTTCATAATCAAGTCATCTATAGTTTTCAAATGACTTGCACCACTAATCAAGCCCCAATGACTGCATCACCTAAACTGAGCAGTGTGAAATGAATGGACTGAATTACGGTAGGTGTTTCTGAAGCTGTGAGACATATTCAGGGGAGTCATTATCTATTCTGAGGTCTACATTATGATTATAACATGATTTAATCATAGAAATGATAAAATGATATTAAATTTTAATGCATGGAGAAGTTTGCTGGAAAATACATGTATAGTGATACATTCTAAAAGTGAATGATGTCAGGGCGTAAGTGTCAATTTTCTGTTATTTCAAATAAGAGGTTACATCATGTAATGGTACAATTATATGTAGCCTTGCATATCTACATAAAATTTCAAAAAACATGTACATATATGTAAAAATGTATGATGATCTTACCATGATTTCTAAGCAAGACCCCTTGAGCAATGTGATTTGGTCAGTCGTACTAAGGTTTAAAAACCCTGGTAACTTCTTACCAAAATCCACTATTTTTACGATTGCTGTTGTGGAGAGTTCACTTACGGCTTCCCACAGCATGCCAGGTTCCTGAGTATTCTGAAAGGGCACAATGAACAAGGGTTTCACTAGAATTTCAACGAAAACAACAGGCAAAATTGAAAGTGGCCGAACTTCAATGAATATTTTGCTTCAATGAATGTTGAATGCGGAGTTACCTTTAAGAACAATACAGAATTAGAATAGTAACATTTGCAATATATCGAATCATATAGTTAACTTCAAAAACAATACAGAATTATGAGCTACCTTTAAGAACAATACTGAATTATAAAAATTACTTTCATGAACAATATTACAGATGCCACAATTATGTATCTATGTTGCACATTTTTATTTTATAATACTTACATTGAAGAAAAACACAGAAACATATACATGACATATAACAGTTACCTTCATTTGGTTGTCAGTCGTGCCAGTGCCTGGAAAAGTTTCCTCATGGGCAAGTGTGATTTCCTCTATGAGTTTCTCCTCTTCAGGAGTAAGCTCGACATCTGCTGTAGAGGAGCATGAATCTGGACGTGACTTACGCTTTTTATTACGATCATTCCTGACAGCTGAAAATATTTATTTTAGATTAAATTGATCATACATGTAAATGATGTCTGGGATGAATACATTTATTCATGATGAAGTATTGTTAAAACAAGGCATTAACATGACAAAATGTCACCACCTAAAACAATTTGGTCAATTTAAAGCAAGTTGGAAATACCTTTTGACCTTAAGAAGGTTTGATTTGAACTTCTTAGAACATGTAGATGATTTTGAAAAAAAAATTCGTCAATTTGAAGCAAGTTGAAAAAATACCTCTTTGACTTTTTTTGACATTGAGAAGGTCATTGAAGGTCAAATGTAAAGTCAGATTTGAACTTCTGAGAACATGTAGATGATTTTGAAAAAAAAATTAAGTAAATTTGAAGCAAGTTGAAAAAAGACCTTTTTGACCTTGAAAAGGTCATTGAAGGTCAAATGTCAAATCTAAAGTCAGATTTGAACTTCTGAGAACATGTAGATGATATAGAAAAAATTGAAGTCAGTCTAAACAGTATTTGTTAAGTTATAGGAAGTTGTAAGAAATTGTTACAGACGCCGGACGCCAACCGCCGTCGCAAAAAAACGGAGACCATAACAATATGTCACCACTTTTGGTGGTGACATAATAAATGATATAAAATCAATATGTCTGAGGCACAATTGATGCAAGTTGGAACATTCAACAAGAAAAAAGCAAGTAACTCCCAAGAGTAGCAAATCCCACCTAACAAAAACACATTTTATCAAATCACTCATCATTTTGAACATTTCATGATGGAAATCAACAGGTAGTTGTATTGTTTCTTTTCGGCAAAATCTACACACATACTGTGATATGACACCATATAAGTAATTCCTATTGCGGTAGAGATGTGTCATTAGGATTTCCCACTGATTATTCATAAGTTGCTGTAATATTTTCAAATACATTCAGAAAAACATAAGCTGGCAAAGTTAAAAGAAATTACAGGGTTCAGGACTGGGACATATGTGTCGCAACCTGGAGACCATGGTCCATTCACTCACCATCTTTTGCCATTCCCTGCTCTAAGCATTTCTGCAGACGACAATACTGACATCGGTTTCTCGTCACTTTATTTATGACACAATTTTTGTCTTTATGACACGTGTACTGCATATTTTTCTGAACGCTTCTACGGAAAAAGCCCTAAAATAGAAAGGAAATGATGTATTCCACACGAAGTGAAGATAAAGTGTGTGCTGCTATGGAAGAAAATGTGACATTTGCATATAATCCATAATAACAATTAATAACAATTGTTGGGAGGAAGTGTATCAGTATGTTTCGTCAGCCTACATCGATATTTAAAATGATTTTTTTAGTGCTTAATTTACTTTGTTTACTTTATTGATATATCAAGTTGTTTTTGTATGATCGCATTAAAAAAAACTTATATTTGCTTCATGGCAGGGTTTATGTCACAGTGACATGAAGTACAAAAACATGTAGTTCATTGTCAGTTAACCAACACAAAGACAACAAATATGTTTAATATTATACTTACCAGGACAGTTATAGTCTGAGGAAATTACAAACAAGGCATTAACATGCAAAATGTCACTACCTGCCATTTGTTACAGATGCCAAACTCGATACATGAACCGCCAAACACCAACCGCAGCCTCAAAAAGGTGGAGACAACAAGTCAACAACACTTGTGGTGGTGACATGAAAATTTAATGGATAAAGCTTTTCAGAAAAGAAACCTAAACAACTTGAATCATTCTGCCTAATGGTTGTATCGCATACACTTTGAGGGCAAAATTTTGTAAATAAGTCAAAAATGACCAACTCAAAAGTTACCAGTCTGCCAAAATTTAACCAGTTCTTATTTTTTCACACCAATCTGCAGCCCCTCCGAGAATATCTGTTCAATTCCTGATTTGCATAAAAATGCATAAAGACTTTGGAGATTTGCAACATCAAAATCAAGATTGCCACCTTTTATATTAACCAGTATGCCAAAAAACTAATCAAGTATCGAATTTAAACTAAGAAGCATCCTTAAAACTTTCAATTGAACAATCAGTGGTTTGTCTGGAAATACATAGACAAGGCATATGACAGAATATTCCAAATGGATGCCTAAAAATACGAACATGGCTAAAAACTAATCAGTTCGAGATTTCCATATGAAGAAACATTCCTGTAAATTTCAAAATCCGTCAAGTGGTTATTCTGTATACAGTGCAACATTCTAAAACCCTAGTTGTTGACTCTATAACAAAATTAGTAAAAAGGTTTCCACTCACCTTACAGCCTTCGCAGGAGCTCACACCATAGTGGTAACCTGAGGATTTGTCCGCACATACAACACAAGGTTTGTATGTACGTGGAGGAGGAGGAGGAGAGTTATTATCCGACCTATTAGAACTTTGAATCTCTGTATATGAATGCTGGTTCTGTGGCTGGTGATATACTGGATCTAAAAACATAATGGATAGGTATAGCAAAGAATTATGTTTTGGTGGGGGTGAAGTCCATAATATTGCTTTTTGATTGAATGACAATTTTGAAATGTGTTCTGTTACATATTTTGAAGGAGAAAAGGGAAACTGAAACATTTATTTTGATGGTGTGTGTACATCAATGATACTATGATACAACCTGATGAATAACACCAAGGAATATATACTCCTCAAAAGAAGTTAAGGACCAGTGGTTTTGAACAAAGAAAATCCGATAAAGTAAATAAATCTGTATCTTGATTCTATTCTCTATGAAGTCTGCAAAATTCAATTTTATATCTCCATTACAATAGGTCAAAATTTATGTCAAACTTGATTATAGATTCTATTGTCTGACATTTCTAAAGCTCTTAAAACTCAGATTTCTGTGAAAAAATTATTACAAAAGCATACATGCTATGTCACATTTTATATTTTTAAATTCATGACAAGCATGTGATGAGGTGCTTTAATTCCAGGCTAATTTTAAGTGATCTTGATTATCAATTGCGTTATGGGTGCTATGGTAACAGAACTTCCTGGAGCATATATAAAACGATCTTATATCATTATGTATGTTTGTATGTTATTGCTATTTGTATGTTATTGCTATTTGTGTGTTATTGCTATTTTTACTGTTTTTGTATGTTGGATGAACATTGGCCCTAAAAGGGCATCAGTACAAATAAATCCTACTATATCATTAAAATCTGTTAATAAACAGCCAGATATCAATGTTTTATCTGCAGTTGTCTACCCATAATGTTCAAGTTCAACGGCTTCTACCAAGACATCTTTAGGTGTCTGTCCATGATCAGTGGACAATTTTTCCTTATCAATGTTTACTGTATGTATCACTTTGTTCCGACAATGTGAATCAAAGCTATTGATGTATTCATTATCTAACAGATTTTATGTTGCCACCCTGTAATAACCATGTTGTCAATTTAAATGATAAAACAAGGCATTTTATAAGCAGAATGTCACCACCTGCCATTTGTTACAGATGCCTTCCACCAAAACACCATCCACAAAGAAGTTAGAGACTATTGCTAATATGTCACCAACCAAAAACATAAATAAAAAACTTACGGTTAGGTGGGCCCATTTGACTGTGTGGTTTAGAGGGCTCTTCAGTAGATCCTCGTCTGAACAAAATATCAGTGGATTCACTCCCAAGAATTGTCATATTGCCCTCTGGAAAAATAAAGTAAAACATTTTAATTGGATGTTAAGCAAACCTGCAGTTCGGCATCAGTCAGGTTTGATTTCTCCAAATTCACCCTCTAAAACAGCTTTGTACACCATTTTCAGATTCAAAAGCATCATTTTTAAATGCATGTGATACTTTTTTAATAATTGTTCTTTTTTTGCGCATTCTGCATTTCTCAAAATTCAATTCTCATGCATTACAAGCACTGCATGTAGAAATCCTTATAAAAGAGTTCTAGTAATTGACTCATTGCGTACATTAGCACATTACATCAGAGGAAATAAACCTGGATGCATGTGTAATCTAATAGCAAGCATAAAGCCCTCTAGGCTCAATGATAATTATGATAAGTGGGGAAATAATATGTCGTATTAAAATAAATTAGAGTTTTGATTTGTAATTTATAGAACACTTGAATTGTTGTTATACAATGCGATAGATCCTTAAAGATTTGAGGTTAACTAAGTAAGTGGTATTACTCACTCATCTCCTCTGAGTGGTATTCACTCTATGAGTTCAACCAAGGGGTATTACCATTACTGTTGGTAAGCAAAATGAAAAACATATTACTCACCACTAGAAGTTGGTTGAGAAGGCATTTGTAGGCGCCTTTTCATGTCTGCCCATGTTTGGTTTCTATATATGGCATTACTCTCTGTCACCTCGTTGCTAACTTGGCTGGTGGACACAGGTAGAGAGAAGCCTGAAAATAAAAATGAAGGGTCCAGTACCAGTTCGCAAAATGCTGCAAATAACTGAAATACCATGAAATGTAGTTATCAAGACCCCACAAATATTGATTTTGAACTATCCAATAAAATGTCATGAAAAGGGAAAAATAAAATATTGCCCCTTGAAATAAAACCAATATTCAATCCGTCCCATTAAATAACCTCTGCATATATAAAATATGTATGTAACTATAGAACCCTACAAAAAAATCTCTCAAAACTGGTCAAGATATCCAAATTGAGTACAACTGAAGCATCACTCACTTGCTTCCAATACTATATGTATGCTAACTAAATGATTATTCCAAATTATGACATCATTCTCACCAAATACTTGTTTATTCCATAAAAGCATCAGTAATCGTATCTCTTCTTTTAAACTATTAGACACTTAACACATAATATATACATTGTGCTGATAATATAGCTCAACAAGAACTTTGGACTGGCCTTTGAATGATGAACAAAAAAATTGATCAGTAACATATGTTAACACTCCATACAGCTTTTGTAGGAAATATACAATGTTACACAATACATACACATTGTAACAGTAAATCACCTTCAATTTAAATATGTCTTATACTATCTTATATTAAGGAGATTGTTTCAAAAGGAGTACCTTTTAATGTGCAATACAAGTGCTATTGATAACAAATCAGTGAGTTATAGATATACAAACTGCTACTATGTCCAATGTGCAAAAATACAACTTAAGTCATGTCTTGTCTCTTTTAGTATGATTTACGCACTTCTCTTGTAGTATGATCTACGCACTTCTCTTGTAGTATGATTTACGTACTTCTCTTGTAGTATGATTTACGCACTTCTCTTGTAGTATGATTTACGTACTTCTCTTGTAGTATGATTTACGCACTTCTCTTGTAGTATGATTTACGTACTTCTCTTGTAGTATGATCTACGCACTTCTCTTGTAGTATGATTTACGTACTTCTCTTGTAGTATGATTTACGCACTTCTCTTGTAGTATGATTTACGCACTTCTCTTGTAGTATGATTTACGCACTTCTCTTGTAGTATGATTTACGTACTTCTCTTGTAGTATGATTTACGCACTTCTCTTGTAGTATGATTTACATACTTCTCTTGTAGTATGATTTACGCACTTCTCTTGTAGTATGATTTACGTACTTCTCTTGTAGTATGATCTACGCACTTCTCTTGTAGTATGATTTACGCACTTCTCTTGTAGTATGATTTACGCACTTCTCTTGTAGTATGATTTACGCACTTCTCTTGTAGTATGATTTATGCGCTTCTCTTGTAGTATGATTTACGCACTTCTCTTGTAGCTAGTATGATTTACGTACTTCTCTTGTAGTATGATTTACGCACTTCTCTTGTAGTATGATTTACGTACTTCTCTTGTAGTATGATTTACGCACTTCTCTTGTAGTATGATTTACGCACTTCTCTTGTAGTATGATTTACGTACTTCTCTTGTAGTATGATTTACGTACTTCTCTTTCAGTATGATTTACGTACTTCTCGTGCGTTTGATTCTGTTGAACATGCCAAACTCAGCCGATATGAATTTCCAGACTTATCTTTGGGCTATTTCTAAGATAATGTAGACAATTGATGCATCAGGGTTGAAACAAGATATTGACCAATTACACAAGATATCTATTAGTGTGTAGCCAGAACAACTTCAACCTTCAGAGATGACACATGCATTTGGAGCATGTTTTGTAAAATGACCATAAAATTGTGACCACTGCATTTAGATTAGACCAATGCAACTTTGGAAAATGAAAGAACATGTAACAAGGATTTATTTTGCCAAGACACTTGGACATTTCTCATCAGCCCCACCCATGGTGAGTGAAGTTGCCGATTTAGCTGTATTATAGGATTTCTTCATATTTCTCAAACAGACTTTGAACATTTTATCAATACCCATTTTCTAAACATAAGAGCATATCAAAGAATCAATCAGGGGCATTTTTCTGTTGTTTTGCATAATTAAAAGCTTGAGATTTATCAAGGAACACACAGAGTAGTAAGTCCAAATGTCCCTCAATCACTGCACAATGCATAAATTAAAATACCTCGTCAATACCTCTGACATGCCATTTCCTCTTAAATACTTCCTATACGACAGACAGATGGATCTACGAATTTCATTCTTTAAGATTATAAACATCGTTCAGTTTATAACAGCAAAATGTGTTTAATCAGCATGCCTCTAAGATCAGCCAAAAGTGTTCAGATTGGCAGGTGTTCACATTTCAAGGTTTTAACATGTAAGTTAATGGAAGATAAAAAAGTGTTCAAATTAAGAGGTTTTCAGATTAGAGAGGTATTCAGATATACAGGTTTCACAATATAAAATATGTTTATCACAATTCAAGATGCAAACCAATGATAATGTATTAATAATGAAGTAATAATAAAAAGTATGTTGACCTGACTTGTCAACAAAGGGACCAATGCAAAAGATCGATGTCGGATAATTAACTAAATTTTGATAGTTAGGGGGAGGATGTTATTGTCCCAAATAGTTAAGCTCTGCCGACATTGATTATTAAATTCCCGTTAATTTTTGTGACAATCATTTCGTCCAGTGTGGATTCCCCGGGGGTTTACCCATGTAGCTCAGAAAATTTTTTTTATCATAAAACATCACATTTACATGGGCTTTCTTCAAAGCCCATGATTTCATTCACAGGTAAGGCTGTCAGCGGGACTGGGGTTTAAAAACAAGCTCAAAATGTGTATACTTGTACAAAATCAATCATTAAGAATATATGAAAGTGTAAGAAATACCCTTCAATTTACCTAAACAGACTGATATGATGAACCCAAGTGCCTTTGGTCTTACTTTTGAAAATGTCAAGAGGATCAACATTTCTCATATTTAATTAACAGGGGGAGGGGGGGGGGGTGTCTGGGAGTTAAAATTTAGTTAGCTCTCCTACATTGAACTTTTGCGTTGGTCCCTAATGAGTACAAGTTGAAGGATAGAGTTATTAGTTGCTCTCATTTTTGTAATGATAAATGAATATAGCTTACCAGACTATTTATATTCTCTCTTGTGCTTCAAGTTAGGCTTATTAAATGTATGTATAACAAAACACATTTCTATTATGCAATAAGTCTAAATATGCTATAGAAATAGTATTTTTGTTTTGAAAATGCAACATGAAATTGATCTCTTATGAAGTTTAAAAATAGACCCAGTGATCTGAGTATGGTAAACATCGAAGGTATTTGCTTTGGGTGACGATTCATGGATATTTTTGCATTTAGTGTGATACTTCTATGTCATCAAGTATTTTCTCACAGTCTTAAAGTATATAAACAACAAGCATATCAATATTTCGTAGCACTGCTTCAGGATAATCCGCAGCAAAACTACCTTCTTTAATTTACCTGAAAGGGTTTTTATTTTTAGAAAATCCACAAATCAATAAAGCGGTTGTTACTCTGACATTATGACAAACAGAAAAAGCATTAACAAATAATGCAGCTTTAATCCTAAATCTAAAGCCTGTATGAAATAAATTAACCATAAAACATAACTGTCAGTCGAATTATTTGATGTAATATTGCAATCTTTCCACCTTTCATTGATAATTTGATTTATTATGCACCTCATTAAAATACTCAAATCTGATTGGTTAAGAGCTGCGGGGTCTATTGCCATACGTGGCAGCAAGATCTCGTTCTATCCAGTATTGAAGCAACGAGATCTCCAACCATCCCGTATACCAGAATACCTATCCTCGGAAAAATACTTTCGACGAGTCCAATTGTCGATGACGTCATTTTCTTAGAATCCCTTCCATGTTGAATTTGAGATGAATGCGAGGGAGAAAAGATTTGCGTGATATGAGAGAACGGGATTTCTATTCAATTTCCTGTGATTAACTGACAAAAGGTAGGTGGCGCTAGATACAGGATCGGCCAAACTTATTATATATGGAGGGAATACGTAAGAATAAGGCCAAATGAGAGAATAAATGGAATTTTTGATTGTCGAACACCAGGGTTTTTAGGCTCGGCTTCTGTTTTAGTAGACCCATTCTTTAAAATAAAGTATTTCTCAAGGGAGGTGCATAATAAAATAAATACTGGATGACCATGAGGTGGATATGCCAGAATACCTATCCTCGAAAAGAAATACTAGGCTCAGCTTCGCTTCGCCTAGTATTTTTTCCTCGGAAAGGTATTCTGGCATATCCACCTCATGGTCATCCAGTATTTGTTTAATACAGTGTTGCAATCAATTTAATTTTTGCTTTCCACATTTCAATTGATAATTTGACAACAAGGTCGTAACTGATCTTCATTTGATGAGATAATTATGTAATTTTCCTGTGAGACTTGGGAGCAATGGCCTTAAAATCAATGATTGGGCAATCTTTTAATCAATAAATTGTAATTGTATGATTCATAATTTGATACACAAGGCTGCCATCTTTGTAATTCTGCTTTACATGTACTTGTAACTTCATTTGAAAATTATCATAACAAGTTGCAATCTTTGACTTTCTCCACATATTTTGATTAACAAGTAATTCACCACAGGTGACACAGGTGTTCACAAATGAGAGAGAGGTGTTCATTTATACAGGTTCACTTTAATGCACAAAAGGATATGGCAGGGCTTAATACTTGCATTGCCAAGGTAGTATTTGCCTACATATTTCTAAGAATAACTAACGTAATTTCCTCAGATAGTAATTTTCAATATCTGTCTCTGGAATAATCTCTGCCCCGATCTAATCTGCTTAATACCAAGTGAAAAATAATCTTATTTTCCTTATTAAGCTTCAAACCTATTCTCGATGACTGTTCCCACCCTTTGTATTCATTTGACTTCGCTTCTTAAAAGTGAGCCTCGTCTTGAATACTATACTCTGCATTCAAGGTAGACTGTTCTATAAGAATAGGTTCTTATTGAAGCAAAATGACACAAGTATCAATCTAATGAATGCAAACACAACTGGTCATTTAGCTATTTTGGCAAAAGATACAAAATGAACTAAGGGATAAAAGCATGTAAGCCACTATCAAGTTCTAAGGAGTCATCATACAAATCGAGGGTTTTAGTATGACACTATACAAGAAGCTAGGAAAAGGGAAGAAAGTGGAAAAATAACTTACTATTGAAAACATAATTATGAAGATGAAGACCCAACCACCCATTTTAGATTAGACACAAAAACTCCAGAATTCAGCCCCATTGCCTCTATTACAGAAACCAATGGCTCACACGATGTAAAGCTAATAAGGGAAGGGATACACGGTTTTGGTGTAAGACTACAAGAAAATAAGTGTGTACAACTATTACCATTGCCATTCTCAGCAGTGGTAGGTAGCATTTGTAGGCCTTGTTGTTTGCTATATTCCTCAACAGCTGCCTGCATGTAGGACTTCTGCACTGCTTGGCGTGCCTCCTGGCTCAGCTGGGTAGACAGATGAGGTTTGGTGTCCATGGGCCCATTGGAGAGAGAGTCTGGCTGCTGTAACTGAGGCTGTTGTATTGACTGGTGTTGATGGCCATTGTCAGGCTCTTGTTTTACAACCACTAAAGGCCTTGTACCAGGACCTGGAACATACAAAATTATAGGTTAATTCCACATATCTTTTCCTTGGATGACTAATGTCGAAATCATTATTATCATTATATGTATGATGCTTATAGCTAACAAGCACTATTCACAGTTTCCAGAAAAGCATTGTCAAAACAGTGTTATTGTTCGATCAATACAGTATTTTGACAAAGAACTGCTTGAAGATGATTGGGCCAGTGTGCTTGGGCTTGTATACCTTGATCGTGAACTCATAACATGATCAAATCGGAACATTTCCTGCACATATACCGTGTGGCATTTTTTGATATAACTGTCAATGAAATACTTAATATGTTTTTAACATCATGACGTATTATTTAATTCTGTGAATTAAAATAGTAAAAAATGAAATTCCAAAAAGTAGCAAATCTCTTTGAACAATGAACAAAACATATTTAATAATTCCTTTTTGGTTTTGATTTTGGGATTTTGTATTTAGGCATGAACAATTTTTTATGCTGTAGGTAATACTTTTGAAACTCTTTGTGTACTAATGCAGAATATGCACTAAGAAACTTTAGAAGGGTGTTATTATCCCATTGTATAGCAAAGAGGGAGGAGAAGAAGACAATTTGGTTGTTCATTTTCATTTTTAAATTTTATATATTTTACTTCTATTGTATTTCTATTACACTATATTTCAAAAATATTCAAGCGGGTAAACTTTGTTGTTTGTCTCCCCATTATCTTTACAAGGCAAATGATTCAATAAGAACTTCAGCCAAAGAAGAATTCATAATCAGGCAGTTATAGTCTTTCTCAATGTTGAAATCTATGGGGAGCAGTACACTATAATGCTCCTCTAAAGAAATCCTAAAATTACAAAAAATCTAAAAATTACAAAAACCTAAAATTTTGCATAAAAATCTTACCAAATCATAAAAATTTTACATGAAGAGTAAGAAATGTCTAAAATGTTGCACCAAAAAATAAGATAAACAAAAATTAAATAAACAAAAAATGAAGAATAAAATAAATGAAGAATTCCGAAGAAGCTCAACACTGGGTTATATACACACTTTGTGTTGCTACAAAATTATAAAAATCATAGAACTAAATAAATATAGATAAGGCTCTCCCTTGTTATACCAATAAACTTTTCATTCAATTTGCCATTCATGACATATGGTTATCAATAAAACATGGAAACATAATACCATGTATGTACTAAAGGTTCAAAATTATCTCTATTTTCATTCAAACCTTTTTGAGTTTAATATAACTACATGTAATTATATCTTAAATGCTGTACATTCAGTAAAAGAAAGTTGAATTCCATTGAATCTTACAAAAGATTCAATTTTTGTATGTACAATAGGATCTATAATGAATCTGCCGATCTTAAAATCACATTTACATAGAGAATTGAAATTGAAATTCTACAAAGAATTTTCAAAACCTCATTTTGGATGTAATTTTGTATGGTGTTAAAACTGTATAAAAATTCAACATATTATAATCATATGACGTCTTTAACACAAAGAATAGCACTTTTGCTCTAGATGTTATCAACTTTATGATATGTTAAGGAATGATATATACTTAGGAGACTTTTTTATTTCATTTATTTGATGTTAACATTATATTCTCATACATATTATTTGTAAATGTATTAATATGTAAACTAAACTTAATTAATTCTAATTTCTTTAATATTATCATCATACTCTAAATTTTTGGCAAATTTGAACCAATGAATTCAATTTCTGCACATCTTGGTGATATAGAAGTTGTTTTTAGTACATGTATCATATTTTTAAAGTCCCTTCCTCTTGCATTGTGTATCCATCTACTTGATTTCTTTTTTATTTTGTATGACCTTATTATTAGCATTATTCACAAAATTATATTCAAGTATAGCACCTTGATAAGTTGGCATAATACTTTTGAAATACTCAAAATTTTTGAATTGTAACTGAACACCTAACACATTAGATACAAAATTAATACAAACTGTTTTCCATGAATTGAAAAATATACAGCTATTCTTATATTGTTTTAATTCTACAAAATATCTTATCATTAATATGTCTACATGGGACTTTTCTATTTGACCATGTTCTAATCAAGAACTGATAAATTTCTGGCAATTTTTAATTGTGCTTTTATCGCGCTTACTGTAAAATTGTAATTCATTGTTGTATGAAAATATCTCAGAATAAGGGCTAGTTTTATGGAAGAGTAATTTCTGAAAAAGTTTCATCTTAAGCCTATATCTGTTTCAACCCTTAACTATATGGTATGAGTTGCATTTAATAAGAAAGACAAAGGACGTGATTTATTTTGGCAAAAGACCATTGTAATTCTTTTATTTTACTTTATTTGAAAATACATGTACATATCTACATAGAAAATGAAGAGGACTTCATAACATGTCAATAGTACCAATAAATGATAATTGCTATAACTATCTTTAAGAACCAAAACAAAAACATTTTAATATAAGATCTAAAATAAGTAGTTAAATACAACTTACATTGGTTCATACTTTTCAGATATGAGGGAAGAGGTCTTCGTGTCAACTGACAGTGACTGTCATGCAAAAACGTTCTCATTAAAATGGGAAACGTTTTCATTTTATCAAAGTAGCGTTTATTTTCGCTGTTATCCATAAGATTTAATATGCTATATCAAATACAAGTTTATCCCATGCACTTTTTAAAGTATTGTGTTTTAATCCGTTGTATTATCACGCTCTTCATTGCAAATATCTCCGCCAATACTCGAGCATGGCTTGTTACTATTATCTTTACTCCTGAAGTTCAGGTCGCCCTGACTGTTAACCACAAACCAAATGTTGAGCATGCGCACTTAGTCCTTTCCAGTTAAATTACATCGTAGCTTATTTTACTAAAGCAATGTAGTATTCCTCCCAATGCCATATTGAGAATTCTTTCTCAGGTGTAGTAATAGCTTCTATTCCCAAAAGGCATTAGCCTATAAAATTTGAACCAAATCTTACGACCCAGTATTTGAGATATCTCCCAGATATGTACACTAACAGATTGACAGATGATGAAATTTTTTTATGAATTTACCATAAATACATAAACATTGATTAAAAACATGAATTAACATTGTCATTTGCCATGGTTATTAAAGAAAACTGGCAATATCAGTGAACCCATTAATACGCCAATCTCTCTCAAATGAGAATGTCATCCAGGTTTCCACAATAGAAAGCATGGTCACGAATATACCCCTGAGACCTATCATAAACGAACCAAAACAATACTCCATCTACACCTCTGGCTTCAGACAAGGAACTATATACCCTGTATATAGCAACCTTATCTTTTATAATACAACCTTCACATAGCACTAAATAAATGACAATAATGATTCAAAATGAATGACTTGTTATATACAGAAATAAATAGTAAACAAGTATGCATGAATCTACATGCAAAGTAAGGCAATTAAACGTATACAACAAGACCGATGCTCGTATATAATGTGAATACTGCACCTTACATCACCAGGGAAATCTGGATTTTGCATTCAGTTAATGAAAACCGAACTGATTGCCCTAGAGATGACAGCCAGTCCTGGCTCATGTCAGTAATTTTTCAGTAAATGTATGTATTTCTATTTTATTAGGATTTCAAGCCTTTATAAAAAATTAATTTTATGGAACCCGAATTTCATGAAAAAATTGAGAGTATTTCTGAAACTTTGGGTTCCGGGAAATATCACTTGTGAAAGATTATAGGAATATCCTATGGCTTTGAAAAAATATCACTTATATCCATGAGTGGATATTGATATCTTCGCGAGTGAGCGCAGCGAGTGAGTGAAGATACTGATATCCATGAGTGGATATAAGTGATATTTTTGAAAAACCATAGGATTGTCCGTTTATCCCATGGGGAATTATTATCCAGAGAACATTGAATAGTCAGATAAATTTCAACAAGATTTATTTATTTCAACATTTTGATTGCAATAATTCAACAAACGTCATAAACATGACATAACAGGGTGGTTTGTATTTAATGCAAACGCCGTAAAAACTAGATCCAAATAAATAAAAAAACATATAAAGAATCGTTTTGCTGAATTAATAATAAAAGATTGAAAAAATCAAAACCATCGAATATCACTTTTGAAACCATCGAATATCACTTTTAAAACCATCGAATATCACCTTTCAAAAAGTGATATTCGATGGTTTCAAAAGTGATATTCGATGGTTTGGGAATTGTTTGCTAAAATATGATATCTTCATCCACGTATCAATTATATCTTCACGTGATATTCGATCTATATCCTTGTAACCATGGGATAAGCAGATATTCACTTCAATAGAATCAGTGTTCTCCACAGGATATTTTGTCAAGTGGGTGCAAAATTCTAATATTCACAATTCAGACTAAAATTTTTCCCATTTTCAATTGGGTGAAAATAGATTTATAGGTGGGTGCTGCGCCCACTTGCTTTAATGCTGGAGAGATTACTGAGAATTAATAAATATTTGCATAATATTGTTTGAGGATAACACCATTTTGATACAAAAAGAATCAATATTATCAGTGATATTAATTGTTATCACTGCACTTCAGTCAAAATATCATTTTAATTTAGATGTTACTGTTAATAATACTCTTAATCATTTATCTCACTAGCCTGTGATCAATCCCTTTTATTACTTTTCATTGGATCATTCCTTCTATGTAATATTATGTTGCTGAATGTTTATGATGAATAATGTGTGTCTAATGAATAAAATTTCATGATATTAGAAAGAATCAAATCTGTTAAAAAATAGGTTCATGCACATATTACATTGAGTTCATATTCTGAAAACTAAATTAACTTTAATTTTCCAATAAAAATGTCAACAGGGATGTTAAACATGAGAAGGTCATTGAAAATCAAATCTTTTTTTGACCTTGAGAAGGTCAAATCTCAAATCTAAAGTCAGATTTGAACTTCTGATAACTTGTAGATGATTTTGGAAAAAGAAATTGGTCAAGACCCTTTTGACCATGAAAAGGTCATTCGAACTTTTGAAAACTTGTAGATGATTTTGAAAAAATTGAAGTAAGCCTAAACAATATTTGTTAAGTTATTGGAAGTTGAAAGAATTCGTTACAATCACTGATCGCCAACAGGCAACCACCAACTGTCAACCACCATCTAATAAAAAATGGAGACCATAACAATATGTCACCACTTTTTGGTGGTGACATAAAAACAAACATAACTATCCTAAACTAGTCAAATGTGGAAATCAACAATGTCTAATACTCCCTCCCTACCATTCAAGTTCATTTATGACAAGCAGTTCATGTTATTTAATGTAAAGTAAACATTTAGTCAAAATCAAGTTTAATGAGTGATAATATAGTCCTACACTTATTTCAGTTTCTTAAAGCTTTATCGAAGGGGCCTTCTTTATTAAATTAATTATTTTTCTTTGGAGAACAATACGATTTTGAACTAGTCCTTAAACATGCACAAAGTAGTACCTGTTTGTGTTGCTGATCCCCCTGACCCATTCTCCTTGGTTTGATACATGACTGCTCTGACGTCACATCCCTATTGTAAATTCTAAGTGGCCTGCCTTCTTGAAGAACTGGTCACTGAAAGAACAAAGTAAATTGAAGCAATGGTTATGAAAGAAAGAAGTTATTGACTACTGAAAGAAAAAAATTAAGAAACTGATGAGACATTTTCAAGGTCCTCAATTTTACGACGAAAAATTATGTACATGATGAGATGTTAAACTTTAGTAGTCCTTGACAAATTGACATCCAGCATATAACAAAGAATGATATATTATTCTGATATATCTATAGAATGTTGTTTCCACTACCTGTCAAACTGAATAGCTTTCTCCATAATTTCTAGATTATCATAGACCAGCAAAGGAAGTTCTATTCAAATCACAACAATATATCAAGACATCATTTATTTTTTCATGATATTATTTATGGTGTTTATGTCAAATACGATAACCTGCACCAAGTTATTATTTATAGAAACAGAGAATCTACACTACAGTGTACACATCAAAATTCTGTGGTAAATCCCAAGGAGCCAATGACAGACACCTCTTGTAAGTCTAAACCCTTAGGAAGAGTCAATAATACATACTTAGAGGTTATGTCACTATGACGTGAAATATGCCTGAGTTCTCCCAATATAGGCCGACCTTGGGAGGCTCTATATTTGGCAAGAACGAAGGCATATTTCACGTCATAGTGACATAACTGATGTATTACATGCCTTTGTTCCCACGGTTACTTTGTATCAATGACGTGACGTCATGATATTATCATGGTTATTAAAGAAATCTAATATCAAAACGAGGTAAGCGGGCTATATCGGGGTAATCGGGCAATATCGGTGGATATAGCTCGCTAACTTTCCCATTGACTTCCATACAAATGCTTCGCTAGGTATGTAATACATGTAGATATAAAGGTTCTGGTTATGTTTTTTTTTTCTTATACACATTTTAAAGAAAGAATCTTATTTTGTATTTTTCAGATATTAGTCTATATAATTCAGAAGAAATAACTCAAAATATTAATAATAAAAAATCATGAAATGTATGCATGTAAATAATATAACATAAATAGGGGATATCCTATGATTTATGAGTGATATGATTTTTATCCACGAATGGATATGATATCTGCACGAGCGAGCGTAGTGAGAGAGTGCAGATATCAATATCCATGAGTGGATTAAAATCATATCACGAGTAAATCATAGGATGTTCTTTTTATTCCATAGTTAAAGTCATCATCAGAATCGTCGGAAATTAAGTGATTTAATTCGAATTTTTCAAACGATCCGGCGATGTTGACACGTAGCCTCGTTTTGAGTCCGAAGTAGCAAAAATCCATAAACCATTGCATATGGTGCCGTATGTCATGGCTAAAAAACCGTATGCTATGGTTAAGTGAAAATTTGTCAAAAATATCATATTACCACTGATTACAAAAATACCGTTTTTATTTTCACATGTTATCCTATGAATATCATGCTAACTATGGAATAAAATGGAATATACCATAATTACAGAAAAAATGGAAGCTTGTTGCCTCCTGATCTTTTGCATGCTTGCTGGATAAAGCTATTCGAATATTTTGAGTGTCACATTAGAAAATTAACACAAAAAGAAAAACATGATGTGTTGCATGTGGTTTTGTTAACTTTCTGCAAAACATTTAAAACCAATGATATTTACTGTCACCACTATCACACAATACTAAAATGTAGTTATAAACATATTTAGGTAAAACATCAAATTTTGATGTGAAAATTTTTCTCCAGGCTAAAAGCATTGCATTCAGTTATCTCATTTATAATTCTGGGCATTGACATTCCACATTCAAACATGTTTTATTCATAAAAATCAAGTTTACAATTAATATACCATCATTGAGAATGTAGAAGACTAGAATTGTTTTCATGGCCTGAGTTCGTCGCTAACATGCTAAATATAAGAGTTAGCTGACGTTTGGGAGTCTGACTTACCTTCTAAAGGTTAGAACCCGAATCTTAATGAAAACATATCACCTTTGTTCCGTCAACCATGGAGCATTTGGCACAACATCCAAGAGGTAAATCATGGACCGTGAAAATGAATGATTTCCTTGTAAGTTCCGGAAGTTTCAATACGAAAAATTACCGAACATATGTGAAAACCGAATATTTGTTCGTTGTTTTCATGATTTACAGATTCGTTTGTTCTTCAATGTTTTGGTCTGAATTATAAAGCATCACTAACAGGTCTTATTCGACTAATACAGCAGACGGCTCATATTTCTACGTAGCATTTTGTTCAGACCAATAGTGGGAGTGTAGATCACGCAGTTTCGTTCGTTGCGTACTTCACTTGAAATTGGTAATTTTAAATATTAGCTACTTCACTTAGCTTGGCGGATGTAGAACATTGCTTAATATTCTTTTAATTTTCACACCAGACATGCTTGGTTGACACGTCAACAAAGTAAAGTTCAAGGGTCAATGCTTTATTTCGTGATAACTACAACGCCTTCCCGGAAGTCAACATTGATGAAAAATGAAAAAGTCGGAAAAGCATTTACACTAATTTCTATCAAATGCTGTGTTTATGCATCATCATCGACGCAACAAAGGTGATATGATTTCATTAAGATTCGGGTTCTAACCTTTAGAAGGTAAGTCAGACTCCCAAACGTCAGCTAACTCTTATATTTAGCATGTTAGCAACGAAGTCAGGCCATGAAAACAATTCTAGTCTCGGTTTGGAGAACACAGTTCATCAGCATATATTGCACGTTATGCCTGCTTTGGGCAATTTTGATATTTTTACATATTGTAGATTAAAATGTCCTCTTTTGAATATCCATAATTTCATTTCTATAGTTTTCATGAAAAAATTGTGAGAGCAGTACACTGATGAACTTCTTTCTCGATCGAGACTTGTCTTTTATTGAATCGGTCTACTGCACGTAATGCCTGGTTCGGACAATATTGATACTTCTACATCTTGTAGATTTAAATGTCCTCTTTCGAATATTCATACTTTAATTTGGGTGTTATTTCTATATTTTTCATAAAAAAATTATTAGCCAAAGAGACTGTTCTCCAAACCAAGACTTGTCCTTTGCAGGTTGAAATGAAGAATTGGCTCTCCAATATAACAAAATATTGGATTTGTGAATGCAACTATATATATTTGCAATTCTATTAAATAATCCATATATATAATGGAGAAAACATTGATTGTACAAAATTAGTAATATCCAAGTAATTTAGGTACATTTATGTACTATTTGTGCAACCTGTAAGAGGTAAACAATAATATATGGAATGAGTAACATGTACCTGAAAATAGCATGCTATTCCAGTTAGAATTAGCCATTAAAGTTTCTGAACATATGGAACTACCTAAAATAACAATTCTGCCCTGTTTGTCATCTTTATACTATATTTCAAGTCTCCATTCTTTAAAGGTATTAAAATAGAATGCACAAACATATTCATAATTGATGTTTCAATGGCCTCTCTTCATGGAAATGCCAAAATGTAACGTTTTTGAATGCTAATTGCATTTTATGAAAAAACAAACAATGTATTATGAACAGAAAGTGCAATATGCCATCCATGAATGTCATTTGTTTTGCTTAAAGTATATTTATAATGTGTCAGAGTTATCATAACATTGATGATAAAAATAGCTATTGATTAGTTACACTTACCTTGCAATGATTTATACTGATCCAAATGTAGTTGCACTTAGCGTCATGGTTGGCTGATTATATAGGGATCTGTTGTTTTTGGTGACTGGAATCAAAAGCAAGTGCTGCCCTCACCTGAAAGAACATTTTTCAAGACTTTATTCTTTGAAACTATTATTGATTGTATCCACATTGTTGTTACTATGATGGAAGAATTCAGTATTGTTAGCCAGGGAATACATACATTCTGAGTCAGATGTCGATGACACTTGATGACGTCTTAATGATAGAAATAGTACACTGACTCTGAGATCGGAAAAACAAGAGAAACCAACAAAAACAGGTATAGCAATTGCTATGAAAATTCTAACAACAAACAAGGATTCTTTTAATTTGTGCCATCACTCTATCATTAGAGAATAAACACAAGGAGAATGCTGGGCTCAAGCATCCTTATATCCCTTGATGGTGATGTGTTTCAAAGCTACCAATAATAACCCAAGGCATAGTAAGATCATAAGAAACTCCAAAGAACAATGTTTTCACATTCAGTCAAGGTATACAGTAAAACCCATGTTTGTGAATTTGTTAACGGAATATATTTGGTCAGTAAAGATTTGCTTATTATCTTTGTCTACATTCTCCAAATGCAGGGCTGCAGACATCATTCATAAGGAAGGATGAGAATGGATGATGTTTGGAGCCCTGGAATCGGAGAATGCTTTGTCTTAAATGAACATATACAATGTGAATTTTGAACATTTTGATCTGGCTGGAAAACTCTCCCCTTCCCTTTACTGATGTTCTTATGTTGTCTTCTCTCAGTTCCTTCCTCTTACTTCGGTGTTCTAACTTCTCATAGTTTACCCTCTTTGCGCATGCGGAGAATATACTGTTTCATATTCATTTGTTAATGTTGTCTTCCCTCACTAATTTTCCAGTGCTTCATGATAATACTTTCCTGCATATTGTATTTAATACAAATCCATTTATGGATGGAGAGATGGACAGAGTGACAGACAGCAATGTAGGCCCTAAGAGTCAGGTTACTTTTTATACAGACCAGTCTTTTTTTCACAAGGTATAGGAATATAACAACAACTGGTCCCTTTTGGCCATTTTGACCAGCAGGTTTCAGATCCTCTAAGGGCCTACACTGACAGACAAACCCATACCCAAACCCATCAACAAAATATAGTGACAATACTAGCACTTTGGAAAATGAGAGGAATATTTATAATACACAACACAGGTTTTACTGTATTTATAATAAATAACGACCTGGCGCCATTGTCAGCTTGTCACTGAGAGAGGTTAATGTGACACAGAAGTATATACAGTTTGTTGCTCCTATTCATCAAGATAAATCTACTTCTAAGATTAACACAGATTTATTTATAGCGCCAACCTATTAAGGAGTACATTCTTATTAATCAATTCCAATTAATTTCAATATTTTTAACAAATTACAATACCCAATGTTTACAAGACAAGTATGGAAATTGATTCAGACTAAAACCAATTTTGAGATAGAAATTGATGAAAGACTGGGACGTAAAATCAGGATGTAAAATTATGAGTTGCCTGTGAGACAATCTTGAAACATGTACCGGTACATGGGAATTAAGCAGTGTTTAATTTACAATCAGAAAATTGAAATAATTGATACAACCAAACAAAATTTCAATGGTGTTTCACCTCTATGCAATCCAAAATAATGATAATCGGTGATGCATTATGTGGTCAACTGTTAAAATTATTGACCACCCCTAGACTAATCAAAATCAAGCATTTCAATTGAGATACCAACAATCTTGAGTTCAAGATTCTGCGATTGTTTTTAGTTCAGAAAAAAAAAGATTGTGTCCCTTTAAATTGCAACATACTATTACCATATTTTAGAGGCTACTTTTAAGAAAGTTTATTTGTGCTTGAGGTTGATACAAAAAATTATTTCGAATCATACACAATTTTCATTCAAATCTACATATTTCTAAAATTTACACCGATGCAATGTTTCTTTCACCCTTGAGTAAAGAGAGGCAAAAATGAGAGAACAGTGTCCCAGTCTTAAAGCCTAGCGAGAATTCTGTTACTTTAAAAGCAGCTTACCTTACCTTTTGAAGCTAATTCCACAATACTGTACATGTGTTTGAATTTGATTAAATGTAATATATTTTGTCAGGCAACAATTGTTTATTATCAGCTGGTATGCTGTATATTACTTATTACATGAATATACAGGGTCCAAAGTTTTAAGGTCATCAAACCACAGTAGATAAATGTCATGATGATCCATTAATATAAACACCTTGGTTTTCCTGTTGGTTAATATGCTATAATTCTCAACTTAAGTTTTTTGTTCACTGGTAATATAAGTATGGCAAGGAATATAGACCAAGAACATTCTGAAAGTGAGAAAATGTCAAGAAGTCACTACCCATTTTATTCTACCTTTATTTCTCTGGTTTAAAGATGGTTTTTAGATAATCTGATAGATGGCAGCTGTGTATGACATATATTAGCAGCCTTGGTGATTTATGACAAACCCCCTTGTTCACCTAACTAACTGTCATTCTGTCCATTTGAAAATCCCCATTTGGATGGACAAATACTCATATTTATATTGGGGGGGGGGTGAGTGCAATCGATGATTTGCGATCACTGGATGGATTCTATCTTGCAGTGACGTCACAATTAGGCCACAGTGCTATCGCTGTTTGATTTTGAGAGATTATCTTCTGTATTTCGTACTTTATTAATTTATTTTTCACAAAAGTGTTCGATTTGACTAGATCAACATTCATCCTAAGCACATGCCAAGTTTAAGATCTTACTGACATGATTTAGATAGCGGTTAAGCTCCCCCGATTTTGAAAAAACGGGGAGCGCTTATAGGTATCGATGTTTAGTAAGAGTTTCACCAAAACTTCACACATATATAGATATACTCATGATCTAGTCAAATCGGTAAATATCCGACCCATGGTTTCGTAAAAGAAACAATTTTTTTAGCGCAAAACTGCCATGTGTCAGCCATTTCCTCTCTCCATCATGTCTAATATCATTTATTATATGACATCACAACAATAAGATGAAATAACTGGCAAACGTATCCATAAACAAAATACCTGAAAAGGTCAATTGCATCATAATGCGGTAATTCACAACACTGAAGATATTCCTTTTTATTGTCAGAATGTCACCATTTCTACCATTTAAGCCTCACAGAATTGTGTAGGCAGGGGGGGGGGGGAATAATGACCTGGAATATTAATCAAGTTACACTATATAACTGGAGTAAGTTAAAGGAGACAGATCAGAACATTATCTTGAGTTTATAAATAACTGGTCAATGTGTTTTACAGTCATTTTAACCTGGTAGTCCAAGTCCATTGTCTAGGCTATGTTAACCTTCGCATGTTAAACAATGTCTGAACAAATAAATAAATAAATAAGTAAATCATTAATATGTAAGAGTTATTTACATGAATGTTGCAATTTTGGCCGAGTTTCTCTTCTATGACAGTGCCTGGGAAGTGATCTATATATGTGATACAATGTCAAACAACATAATTTTGCCAAAAATAAAATTTATTCTGTAAGATTAGTTTACATATCAAATGCGGATTAAACTTATAAAGACTTGAGATCGCTTGAAATTGACGTTTTGCGTTTTTGCTTAGCTTGCTAATTTTGAGAAAAATCATTTACCTGGAATGCCTAAGAACTTAAACAGTTTATACCTGGCTAGAGATATTCGTGATTTCAAATTAATTCCTGAAAGGAATTGCAATTGCTTCCATTGAATCATGGGGGCAAGATATTTCAAGAATAAATTGATCAACCAATTTGCATTGAACAGATAGAAAAAACAGAGGGGTTTTCGGATGTGGTGTGAACACATAGATTGTAACAATGTAAGAGCATTCATATCTAGTCTCTAACATTGTATAAGTTTGTAAATATTTGTAAATTAGTTTGTATCATAGAATGTACATTTTGTAGCAATTATGTTTGTCAATCCTATTTGAAAAGGTGTTTTCAGTCTGAATGTATATATCAACACTACATTAGAATCATGATGTAATTGATTTTTGTATTTTTCCATTTTGCTTATGACTGTATATTTGTATATAAAATACATGTAAATAACTGTATAGTGACCCATGTGTCGGAGAGACTGATATACACAAGAGTCAATAAAAGAATATATAGAGATTATCCTATATGAGGTTCAGGATATTGGGATTATCCCGAGGGAAAATATATTATATTGGCCAAGGGATAATCCCAATATCCTGAACCGACTATAGGATAATATGTTTATCACATACCAATCTTGGTCATCTGGTTCACATTGTTCAATCGTGGAAATATTTTAGAATAATCATGTCCAGTTTTGTTTTCTTGGCCGTGGGCGGATTTTCCTGTTCTCTCAAATATTCCCACATTTATTTTCTCGAATTTTTTGATTGATTAAGTGGATGCTCCTTCCCTTTTTTAAACCATCAACAGATCCCGATAGTCTGTGTTTTCTCCATTGTCGTTTACAGTCATAAATATATTTATCCCATACTTTGACGTGTTGCAGGTACATAAAGCCGGTTTGTAAAAACTTATATTTTCATCAGCGGGTAGATATAGCTTTACACCCCGCTCCGAGCTGGCAGATATAGTATTTCTGCCCGCTATGTCATAATCGCTGCTCGCACATTTGTTCATAATTTGTAACGTTCGCGTAATGGCTGTAAATTATAATGGAGAAAACACAGACAATCAGGATCTATTTGATGGTTTAAAAAAGGGAAGGTGCATCCACTTAATCAATCAAAAATTCGAGAAAATAAATGTGGGAATATCACGGCCAAGAAAACAAAACTGGATATGAATATTCTAAAATATTTCCACGGTTGAACAATGTGAACCAGATGACCAATGTTAGTATGGGATAAACATATTATCCTATAGTCGGTTCGGGATATTGGGATTATCCCTTGGCCAATATAATATATTGGCCAAGGGATAATCCTGAACCTCATATAGGATAATTTCTATATATATACAGGTGACAGAAAAAGCCTACCTGTATCACTAAATCTTGTGAAACCTATCTCACTGTCAACGATTCTGCA